CATGAAGCTGAAGTTATATTCTCTAAGAATGGAAGGAAGATGATATTCCAAATGTGGTGAGTGGTGGGCAAGTCTGAGAGATCACTGACTCAGGACACAGCCTAAGTAGAAGAGAAATGGGACTGACGGCACATGGGGGATCAGCAAGGTACATGAGCCAAGCTGATGCTGAGCTCAGCCTAGGCACATGCTCATTAGCCCGAATTTAGAGAAGATGAGAACTAATGATTCCCAGGTCGGGACTTTACAAGGAGGGTGAAGTAGAGATCCAAAGAGATTTTTTTAAAATATAAGAACATGTGGCTGGTGTCGTGCAATAGCAGTTAAAGGATGCTGCTTGCGATGCTGGCATACCATTCAGGCATCAGTTTGAGTCCTGGCTGCCACACTTCCAATCCAGCTCCTTGCCAATGCACCTGAGAAAGCAGCAGAAGATGGTCCAGGTGCTTGGGCCCCTGCACCTATGTGAGACACCCTGGCTCATGGCTTCAGCCTGGCCCAGCCCTAGCTGTTGTAGCCATTTGGGGAGTGAACCAGCAGCAAATCAAAGATCTCTCTCCCTCTCCTCCGCTCTCTGCAACTCTGCCTTTCAAATAAGTAAATAAATCTTAAAACAAAACAAGAAAGCTATTAAGTAATATGCAGGTTAGAGAAAGAAGTAATACACTACAATAAATGAAAATGTCAAAGAATTAAACAGGAAAGTATACTAGGAGTGAAAGAGCTAGAGTGACAGAAAGCAACCCTTAAAGTAGCAGAGTTTTAAGAATTCAGGATGAAGATGACAGAAGGTCACAATCAAGGAACAATAAGGCTAGAGTTCTATAGTTACTTTCCCAGACACATGAGGTTACGAGGATGCAGGTGGCACCAAAGAGGAGAGGAAAGAGGGAAAAGAAAGGGACTATGAAGCAGTAGAGGACAGAGGTGAGAACAGGGCTGAGATATGGCTGGACCACACCAGCCTCAGAGACCACTGTCATTCATTGGCTGGAGGGTACTGTTTGAGTCTGGGAAGTATCGTGATTATTTGGGAAACATGAGTGAACAGCCTCCATGTGAGCAGGATCAGAAGGTAGTTTTGGGCACTTCACCTGGCAATCCATTTGCACCTCACTAAGAGGGAAACACAGGAAGGAGCCTGAGACCAATGATGAACAGAGGACTGACAAGCACAGACTAAACTGTGCAGCTGCCAACTGCAGGTACCCAATAGCCAGTTGGGGGTACAAATCTAAAACTTAGAAGGCAAATCCCAAGCAGGTTTATTGACTTCTACACCAGACAGTAATTTGTTACAAATGCCTTAGTTTTTTTTTTTTTTTTTTTGAAGTATCTCATCTAGCTTAAAAAAAAATTTCCTCAACTTATTTCAACCCAGTACAGCTAAAGAAGAAACTCAAGGGACTGGTGTTGTGTTACAGTGAGTTGAGATGCCACCTCATATTGGACCACTACTCAGTCTCAGCTGCTCACCTCCAATTCAGTTCCCTGCTAATGCACCCAAGAGCAGTGGGCGAAGGCCAAAGTACTTGAGGCCCCACCATCCACAAGAAAGACCCAGATGGAGCCTGGCTCCTGGCTTTGGCCTGGCCCAGCTCCAATCATTGTAGACATTTAGGGAGTGAACCAGCATATGGAAGATATCTCTCTTTCTGTCTCTCCTCTTTGTCATGCTGCCTTTCCAATAAATAAATCTTTCTCTTTTTTTAAAAAAGGGACCTAAATGTAGCTTAGCACATCCAACAATGGTAATCACAACAAAAATGTAAAAATTAAAGACAACAGCAGGGTTTAGGAAGGAAGATGGGCGTGAAGTGGCTGTGACCACAGAAAGGCATCAGGATCAGTTGTGCCATGATAAAATTGCACAGAACTAGGGCCAGTGTTGTGGCATAACAAGTTAACCTGCCACCTGTGATGCTGGCAGCCCATACTGGTGCCAATGTGTGTCCCAGCTGCTTTACTCTGAATCCTGCTCCCTACTAATGTGCCTGGGAAAGCAGCAGAAACTGGCAAAAGTACTTGGGCCCCTGGATCAGATGAAGCTCCTGCAAACGTTTGGGGGAGTTAATCAGTGGATGAAAGAACTCTCTCTCTCTGATTTCCTTCTCTTTAACTTTGCCCTTCAAATAAATTTTAAAAACTCTTTCAAAAGAAGTTGCACAGAACTAAACACATTCACACACAACTGCATGTAAGACAGAATGGCAGGCTGGCGCCGCGGCTCACTAGGCTAATCCTCCGCCTAGCGGCGCCGGCACACCGGGTTCTAGTCCCGGTCGGGGCGCCGGATTCTGTCCCAGTTGCCCCTCTTCCAGGCCAGCTCTCTGCTGTGGCCAGGGAGTGCAGTGGAGGATGGCCCAAGTGCTTGGGCCCCGCACCCCATGGGAGACCAGGATAAGTACCTGGCTCCTGCCATCGGATCAGCGCCGGCCGCAGCGTGCCGGCTGCAGCAGCCATTGGAGGGCAAACCAATGGCAAAAGGAAGACCTTTCTCTCTGTCTCTCTCTCTCACTGTCCACTCTGCCTGTCAAAAAAAAAAAAAAGAATGGCTGGATGGACTGCATCAGTGTCAATCTCCCAGCTGTGATATTCCACTGTAGTTACATAAAATAATACCATCAAGGCAAAGATATATTAGATCTCTGTGCTCTTTTAAAAAATTTATTTATTTATTTGAAAGGCAGAGCAAAAGCAAGAGCGGAAGAGAAGGAGGAAGAGAGGGGGAAGGGAGATAGAGATATTCCTTCTGCTGGTTCACTCCCCCAAACAGCCACAATGGCCAGGGCTGGGCTGGGCTGGGCTGAAGTTAGGAGGCCAGGAGGACAGGAACTCCGTCTAGGTTTCCCACATGGATGGTAGGGGCCCAAGAACATGGAACATCTTCTGTTGCCTTCTCAGGGACATTAACAGGGAGCCAGAAAAGAACTGGGACAGCCAGCACTCAAATCGGCACTATGATATGAAAAACCAACATCACAAGAGGTGGCTTAACCCACTGCAGCACAATGCTGACCTCAGGGATCTGTGTTATTTCTTTCAACTTGCATGCAAATCTACAGGAATCAAAACACAAAGGGTTTTGTTGAAAGTTTTTAAAAGATAGCAAAATAAGGAGTAATGTTTCTACAGCTAAATTATTCTCACCAGAAAACTGGAGCAGAGTGAGAAGATACCTAGGTGTTAGAATTACTGCCCACAACCCCATTCCCTGAACACACCCCACACCAAAACTGCTGCCATGGTAACCCACAGGTTTCAGAGGAAGCTTCTTATACCCTCAAATGTGTTCCAACTGAGAAAAGCAGAAAACCTCTCTTCTAGCTACTTTTCTTTATTAACACTTGAAAAAAACATAATAATTTACAATAAATATTAAATTTTTAAAAAGATTTATTTACTTATTTATTTGAAGGGCAGAGTTATAGAGAGGGAGGGAGAGACAAAGAGAAAGAAAGCTCTTCCATTCACTGCTTCACTTCCCAAAACAGCCGCCAACAGGGCAGGGTTGGATTAGGCCAAAGCCAAGAGCCGAAAACTTCATTTGGGTTTCCCCTATGGATGGCTGGGGCCCAAGCATTTGGGCCACCTTTTGCTGCTTTCCCAGAAATATTGGCAGAAAGCTGGATTGCAAGTGGGGCAGCTGGGACATGAACTGGCACCCATATGGGATACTGGTGTTGTAGACAGTGGCTTAAACCACTGTACCATAATGCCAGTCCCAATATGAAATATTTTAGTCAATACATTTGTAATGGGGATGTACTTGGTCAACATAAAGAAAAATATTCTATTTGTATCAGATAAAAAATATGGATTTTCAGTGGTTTAATCAGACTTTAAACAACCATAATCAAGGAATACAATCATAAAAAGGTGTACAGTCTGTGGCCTTGAATAGAGGACAACTTACTTAGCCTATCCAGGAGACCTTGGCACACCAGCACCATGTCCTAGTCAACTAGGAGAAAGATTAGACATGAGCAGAAAGCTGCATCTCATCAATTTGATTCATATGCATTTTAAATTGCTTAGCAAGAAGCAGCTTTAAAGAAAAACTGTTTAGCCACTGAAATCAAACATGGGGAAACACTAGACTGGAACTGTAGCCCAGCTAAGATTTAAATGATTTGTATCAAAAGAACAAAGAAGGAAAAAAAAAAAAAAGGAATCACATCATGACAAACACATTTAAAAACCCTAGTATTATAATTATTTACAAAATGGTGCTTGTGTGTGTACAGCACAATCTAAATGTCAAGCCGCAGAGGAACTGTTGGGTCAAAAAATGGAATATGGGGGTGGGGAGGGCGGGCAGCATTGTGGCATAACAGGTTAAGCCACTGCTTTCAGTGCTGGCATCCCATATGGGTGCTGGTTTGAGTTCTAGCTACTCCACTTCCGATCCAGCTCTCTGCTACGGCCTGGGAAAGCAGCAGAAGTTGGCCCAAGTCCTTGGGTCCCTACACCCGCGTGGGAGACCAGAAGAAGCTCTTGGCTTCAAGCTTTGGATTGGTGCAGCTCCGGCTGTTGCGGCCAATTGGGGAGTGAACCATCGGATGGAAGACCTCTCTCTCTCTGTCTCTCCTTCCCTCTCTGTGTAAATCTTTCAAATAAATAAATAAATCTAAAAAACAAAGAAATGCATATAACAAAACATATATTTAATAATAGTTATTTTAAAGAAAGAAAAATTAAACATAACAAAAGAAAAACAGGTAGGTAGGAAATATATCAAAATAATGGTGGCTGTATTTGAAGGATGAAATAATTATGGGTAATAATTTTTCCTCTAATATTTCTTGAAAATCTTTTTAAAAATTTATATTCCTTGAAAATAATATTTCCCTCCACTGTGCCTTGAAATTTTAAGAATATATAAGAAAATAAGAAAAAACTTATTGCAGTAACAACTCTGACCCCAAACCCTCCTTCTCACTGTATCCTGTACCCTTAAACAAACCAAAACACACACACACAAACTCACGAGTACTTACATGGGCTTACGTCTCTGTATCTGTTTCGATTTCTGTTTTCTGGAAATTTGGCCACTCTGTGAGGATAGTCATGGGACTCATTTCGAATTTCCTTAAAATAACAAAAATAAATTTTAATATCCCTCACTTAAATTTATACAGCAAAACATATTTCCAAAATATAAAATATTTATACGGCACTTCATATATACTTCGTACTTTGCAAAACAAACTGTATACATCACTTCAATGAATCCTCACACCACTAATGGAAACAATTCTCTGCCATATTTTGTATGGCAGGATAAGAATCTTTGAGAACTTAAACAATCTGTTAGAAGTGACACAGCTCATAGATGGCAGCCCCCAGGACTGAACCAAAGTCCTTCGGATACCAAAGTCTGTGCTCAAGATCTATTTATTTACTGATTATTAGGCTCTATCCAATATCTCTAAACATGAAATACTTTATGTAGTAGAATTATAGCAATGGAGATACTCAAGATTAGACACATCACACTCAAATGCTACCTACAACTCTTTTATATAACATTTACTTAAATTCTGGAGTTTCTACCTTAAAAATCTTCATCTATTTCCTTATCTTCATGCCACATGACTGTTACTTTGAGTGCAAAATTTGTTTCTAAAGTCATAAATAATTAGCAAAAACTGGTAAGCTTAAGGCTCATTTTAGGGCTTCTGTATTCCATTATGGGAGATATCCTGCCAGTGTACGACTCTGCAGCTTACATGGGTGCCCAGTGCGATCATGTCTTCTCATCCAAAAGGAACATATTCCAAGAATTTAGGTAAAAAGGAGAAATGCCATATTTCAAAAAACTATGCTTTAGCATCAAAAATTAAATTGCCCATGGTACCACATAAGAAGAAGCATTCTAAAAGTCAGGCACCAGAGGCAGGTAGTTGGCCCAACAGTTAAGAAGCTGGTTGGGACAGCCATATCCCCACAATCAGAGTGCCTAGGGTCAAGTCCCATCTTTACTCTTGATTCCAGCTTCCTGCTAATGCAGACCTGGGAAGCAGCAGGTAATGGTTCAAGTGGTTGAGTCTCTATTACACATATGAGAGACCTGCACTGAGTTCCTAGCTTCTGGCTTCAGCCTGGCCCAATCTCAAATACTAGAGACATTTGAGGAGCGAATCAGCAAATAAGAGCTCTCACTGTGTGTGTGTGTGTGTGTGTGTGTGGGAGCAGGAGCAGGAGCAGGAGCAGGAGCTAGAGAGGGAGCAGGAGGGAGGGAGAGGGAAGGAGGGAAGGAGGGAGGGAGGGAGAGAGGGGGAGAGAGAGAGAGAGAGAGAGAGAGAAAGAGAGAGAGAAAAGAAATTTTAGGGGTTGGTGCTGGGACATAGCAGGCTAAGCCTCTACCTGCAGCACAGGCCTCCCATATGGGCGCCAGTTCAAGTATCAGCTGCTCCTCTTCCAATCCAGCTCTCTGATATGGCCTGGGACAGCAGCAGAAGATGGCCCAAGTTCTTGGGCCCCTGTACCTAAGTGGGAGACCCAGAAGAAGCTCCTGGCTCCTGGCTTCAGATTGATTCAGCTCCAGCCCTTGCAGCCATTTGGGGAGGGAACCAGCAGATGGAAGACTTTTCTCTATCTCTCCCCCCCATCTCTCTATAACTCAACCTCTCAAATGAATAAATAAAATCTTCAAAATAAAAGAAATTTAAAAAATTTATAGTGGCATAGCAGGTAAAGCCACAGCCTGCAATGCTGGCATCCCATATGGACACTAGTTCGAATCCTGGATACTCCGCTACTGACCCAGCTCCCTGCTAACGGCCTAGGAAAGCAGCAGAGGATGGTCCATGTGTTTGTGGGAGAACAGGAAGAAGCTCCTGGCTCCTGGCTTTGGCATGGACCAGCCCAGGCCACTGTGGCCATATGGGGAGTAAACCAGCAAATGAAGATCTCTCTTCCTTTCAAATAAATAAATAAATCTTTTAAAAAATTTATGAAAGGCACCAGATAGTTTTATAAATTAAGCATAAATAATTCAATGCATTTCTTAATGAATGTCCTTGGGGTTCCTTACTCCTGTGTCTGCCAATTCTCAACAAGCCCTAAATCAGGGCTTATTTTTCTAGTTTGTATCTTCCTTTGGATCTACCATATACACTCAGCAGTAAACAGTCAAAATATTCTCTGTATATATTTGCTGAATTTCCACCTACTTTCAATCCTTTAACTCAATTGGTTCCTAATGAGTTTTTTTCCTGAGGCACAGTGAAGAGTAGATAAAATTTTAAGAGAAAAAAAAAAATAAAGATTTTAGGTGCTGGCGTTGTGCAGTGGTGGGCCATCACTTGCAATGCTGGCATCCCTTAGCAGCTACTCCATTTGCAATAAAGCTCCCTGAAAATGTGCCTGGGAAAGCAGTGCAGGATGACCCAAGTGTTTGGGCCCCTGCATCCACATGGGAGACCCAATGAAGCTCCTGGCTCCTGTCTTCATTCAGCCTGGCTCAGCCCTGGCTGTTGCAGCCATCTGGCGAGTGAACAAGCAGATAGAAGATCGATCTCTCTCTCCCCCTACCTCTAACTCTGCCTTTTACGTAAAATAAATAAATAAAAACTTTGTGGAGTATAAATAGGATGCCTTAAAGCTACAATTACACCACAAACCAAAACACAATTGAATAGTTTTATTATTTTAAATCTTTATTTCATTAGTCTTTTCAAAAAGAAGTTGTTCACTTCATTGGTAATCTTCTATCATTATTTTTGTCCTTGTTTTTGTTTCCTCCCGCTCTCTTTGGGTTGATCTGATAGTTATGAGTATTCTTTTAAAAGCTCATAGAAAACTGTATTAAAAGGTAATTTTACTTTGGTACAAAATATTTTGAAAGCCACACTTTTTCTCATAATATACACTTCCTGAAGATTCCCATATTTTATAATTTTTTATTCCCCCAATGTTCTTTATTGATAGAACATGATGCACAAGTTTCTAACCTGAACTCAATTTTTCTGAGACTGGAACACTAAAAATATTTCTGTGGGGCCAGCGCTGTGGCGTACTCGGTTAAGCAGCTTCCTGTGATGCCAGCATCCCAGTTCAAGTTTCGGCTGCTCCATTTCCAATCCGGTTCCCTGTTAATGCACCTGGAACAGCAACAGAAAATGGCCCAAGTGCTTGGGCCCCCTACACCACATTGGAGACCCTGAAGAAGCTCCTGGCTCCTGGTGCCTAGCTTGGGTCTGGACCAATTCCGGCCATTGCAGCCATTTGGGGATGGAAGATATCTCTCTCTCTCTCTCTCTCTCTCTCTCTGCCTTTCAAAAAATTATCTTTAAAAAATTTTTTGGAAGATATAAGACACTTATTAGCTTATAATATGCAACATCAATTTTACTTCTTCCAAATCAACAGTTGAATTAATACCATTTATGGATTTTCACATGTATCAGTAACACTTGCTCTATCATAAACCAGGTTTTCATACACACATGGGTCTGTTTCTAGCCCCCCCCCCCCCTTTCTTAATTTGAAAGGCAAAGGTACAGAATGAGGAGAAGAGAGAGAGAGAGAGAATATGTTTCATCTGCTTGGTCAGTCCCAAATGGCTGCTGCTGGGCCAGGCCAAAGCCAAGAGCCCAGAGCTTCCTCCGGCTTTCCCACATGGGCTGGGTCCAAGCACTTGGCCATCTTCTGTTGCTTTCCCAGGTACATTAGCAGGGATCTGGATCGGCAGTGGAGCAGCCAGGTCGCAAAATGGCACTGATACAGGATGCCAGCATTGCAAGTGGAGGTTTAATCTGCTACACCACAATGTGGAGAACCCCTCTAAGTCCTCTTATAGTTCACAGAATGATTTATTTACTGTCTGACAGTTTCAAATTTGTTAGTATAGCTTTATTTTTTTTTTTAAGATTTATTTTATTTATTTGAAAAGCAGAGCTACAGAGAGGCCAGAGGCAGAGAAGAGAGGTCTTCCATCCCCTGGCTCACTACCCAAATGACTGCAACAGCTAGAGCTGGAATGATGCAAAGCCAGGAGCCAGGTACTTCTTCCAGGCTTCCACGTGGGTGCAAGGGCCCAAGGACTTGCTTCAGCAGACGCTGAACTGGAAGCGGAGCCGCTAGGACTTGAACCAGTGCCCAAATGGGATGCTACACCACAGTGCCAGGCCCACTATAGCTTTATAACAGTGTATCTGGAAGAGCAAGTTGTTCCCCAGCTATTTTCCCCATTTGTGTTGTAGTTCATGAAATTTTAATTCATTTTGCAATTTTCTTCATAAAAGTATTTTAGGTTAACATAGAGGTTTACTCTCAGAAATTTTATAGTCTTTCTTGCTGTGTAAATGAATTTCTTAAAAACCTATTTATATTATTAGTCTATTACAAATGCACTGGCTTGTGGGCCGGCGCCGCAGCTCAATAGGCTAATCCTCTGCCTGCGGTGCTGGCACACTGGGTTCTAGTCCCGGTCGGGGCGCCGGATTCTGTCCCGGTTGCCCCTCTTCCAGGCCAGCTCTCTGCTGTGGCCCGGGAGTGCAGTGGAGGATTGCCCAAGTCCTTGGGCCCTGCACCCCATGGGAGACCAGGAGAAGCATGTGGCTCCTGGTTTTGGATCAGTGCGGTGCGCTGGCCGCGGTGGCCATTGGAGGGTGAACCAATGGCAAAGGAAGACCTTTCTCTCTGACTGTCTCACTGTCCACTCTGCCTGCCCAAAAAAAAAAAAAAAAAAAAATGCACTGGCTTGGGGAAAGAGGTGTGAGAATGCTTAAAATCATGGGCAAAGGCAAGCCTCTTTCCACTGACTAGCCTATCTTCATACACACACACACACACACACACACACACACACACCCTTTCCTACAGCTAGGTCCACCAGTCAATTGCTAATTCCTATCTTGAAACCCACAGAAACACACTTATTTGGGTACACTACACAAGTCCCAAGTACAGCTTAGAGAAGAGATTTAAAAGTTATGAAACACAATAGGGGCCTGGCACTGTGGCACAGTAGGTTAATCCTTCTCCTGAGGCGCAGGCATCCCATATGGGCACCAGTTCTAGTCCCAGCTGCTCTGCTTCCGATCCAGCTCTCTGCTGTGGCCTGGGAAAGCAGTGGAAGATGG